TGGAAGTGACCAAGGATGGGTTATGATGTGGAGAGGCTCAAATGAGACGGCCAGAGGCAATGGACAGCTCACTCTGCAAACCTTGGTTGACTTTGAAGTCTGGAAAAATCAAGCTGCTGAGTCAGGCTTCGTGCCTACACTCAAAGATGAACTAATACAGCGCCACACACCGCAACACTGCGTCAATTTGATCATTCCAGGGGTCGGTCCAGACATTCCGGACAGAGTGGAGTGCGCGGAGTGTGGCCGTGAAATGGAGAAGTTTATCCTCTACCGCTGTTGTTACGATTGAAACATATTTTGTTCAGCATGATATGGGGTTTATCATCTTCTGTTTTGACGTGAAAACCCCATATGGGATCTGCACCCCACATCACTGCACTAAATTAGTCCTTCTTGTGACAGATTGATCTGCAAACAACGTGACCGCGAGATGGAGAAGTTGGTCATGTACCGCTGCGTATGCATTGTGAAAAAAAACCATATGGAAATCTAAGATCTGTTATAAATAATTATGCTGGTTTGGTCCTCTGAATTTCAATAGTAGTTTCTACTTCACAGTCTAGCAATAACACTGATAACCAGCAGCATACTGGTGCAACTGCAATTCAAGATGTTACTCCTTGAGCTTCTATAACTTAGAGTCTCATTAGATTTCGATTATTGATTAGGAGAGTGCAGGGTGCAGGTTGTTAAGGTTTCATATTGGTCTACTTTTCTTTTTTATAACTTTATACGACATGGGTTCGTGTTCTAAGGAAAGTTGTACGAAAGAGACAGCAATATGAGTTACAAAAGCATTCAACAAAATATTCCGCTCAATCACACAATGCATTATAAATTTTAAGGTGATATCGACAGAATAGTTAAAAGAAAAGAGAGATTTCGGTATATAAAATTATAAGCTGAGCTTTATGGCCCGTTTGATAACTATTTCTATTTTAGTTTTTAGTTTTTAGTTTTTATTTTTCATTTTTCATTTTTTTTGCCAGAGTATAGAGTTAAAAAGGGGGAGAATGAGAGTAAAGATGGGAACAAGAGGGAAGATGAGATGGGAGGAAGGAGTAACAAAAATGAAAAAAAAAAACTAAAAACTAAAAATTGAAATCTATTTGAAATTGTTTTCACTTTTGTTATTCGTCCCTCTCATCCTTCCTGCTCATCATCATTCTCATTTTCCTCTATATTCTAATACAAAAAATAAAAACTAAAAACTAAAATTGAAATTATTATCAAACGGGCCTTAATACTATTTTTCCAAACCTCATCACTAGAGACTGGTAGGTGAAACATATTCGTCTCGATAGACATAATCAAAAACCAACCTTAACTTCTTGTACTTCATTTTCTTGGAGCCCGCAGATATGAAATAAGAGGATGAAAAACAGCAAGCAACATTTTCCATGGAATTCAACACGGAGTGATGACAAATACACAAATAATGGGAGAGGCTTGGCGACTGGGCTAGTGGTGACTTTTGTGAGCAATCTCTGGCCCACCAATGAAGCTGGTGGGAATCTTTAATCTTAATCCTTTTCGGGTCAATATGTATTTAAAATGTTTGATCCAACGGCCAGATATTTCCCAAAGACTTGCTTTGCTTTTTCCGTTGACTTGACCGATGGAGATTTGAGAGGCGATGACCCGAAGACTGAAGACTACTGGGAAGTTTCCAAGTCAAGCTAATTAGTTTAGCCCGATGAAGGGGGAATATGAATGAGAATTGAGTTTGCAGACTATGCATCCATTTGGCATTCACTTGTTAGCGTGTATAATGGGGCTCCATTGTGAATCTTTTTTTCTTTTTCTTTTTTTCAATCATAAGTTTTTTATTTTGTTGAATTTTTTAATCATAAGTTAAACACTTCTTCACACGGAAGATAAATAGGGTTTAGATGGCTAAGACTAAAAGTATTCATCCATGCACTTGCAGTTTTATATTCGATTCATCCTCTCCTTGTATCGAACAAAACAATCACACTCCTAAATGTCCTAATTTATGAGTTGAGTCATATTACCTCTTCAATCAATTTATGAAGTTAGTATTGTGAGGCCTGGTCAGCACTTAATCCTACTTTCAAGGCCATATTCTCCTCTCTCTTTGACTACGGCATTCCATGTAACAGAAAGAAGAACTAATAGTTAGTACTAATTCACAGGGACCAATGATGATTTTATTTTAATTATTTTGGAAGAAAAAAACACCTTAGGGATTTAGATTTTTACAAACAACTACTAAAGATCATGCATACGCAAGATACCATGTAAATGATGGAATTTACAATAAGAGATCAAGAAAAATTAGATTAATGGTAACTCAGTTTGGGTTGGTTATCACTTTTACTCTTATTTTATTTTTTCTCTGTATCGATTCAATTTTATTAGATGTCTCAAAAGAGACACTCTTATGTTATTTTTTCAAAGACACGTTATTAAACAAGTTTAATTTAATTTAAATAGGGTTAGAAATGTGATGATTAATTTAATTATATTACAAAACTAGAGTAGGTTTGTCTGATTTGAGACTTGGATTTTCTGTGAATGGGCTCCACATACCATTCATAATTCCACAGCCTCCGCCTATAAAGAACAAAAAAACCAAACAACCAAGCCAACCAACACGAGTATGAACTAGCATTAGTTCAAACTTCAAACACAGCTTTTCCGGCCAGAAAATGGAAGCCTTCTCAGGCAAAGCCCACCTCTGCGTCCTCACCTTCCTTTCCCTCCTCCTCCTCATCCATGCAAGGCTCAATCTCGACCCTTCAGATCTCCAAGCCCTCTCCATCATCCAAAAAAACTTGGGCTTCCAAATAAGTCAACCTCAAACAACACCATGCAACACCCCTGGTGTTTTCTGTGAGCGAAGGCTCTCAAACAACAACACTTACGTCCTCAAAATCACCAGGCTGGTCTTTCAATCCCAGCGGCTTCACGGGTTTCTGCCTCCGGCAATCGGGCGGCTCTCCGAGCTCAAAGAGATCTCTCTTGCAGACAACAGCCTCGTTGACCAAATCCCATCTCAAATCGTTGACTGCCGGAAACTTGAGATTCTCAACCTCAGAAACAACCAGTTCTCCGGTGAAGTTCCAGCCCAGTTGTCCAAGCTCGTTCGCCTTCGAATCCTCGACCTCTCGTCCAACAAGTTTTCGGGGAACTTGAGTTTCCTCAAGCTTTTTCCCAACCTGGAAAAACTTTCCATTGCTGACAATTTCTTCTCTGGGAAAATCCCAGCTTCCGTTCGTTCCTTTCGCAATCTTCGGGTCTTCAACTTTGCTGGAAATGAACTCCTTGAAGGCTCAGTGCCTACAATGAAAAGGGTCGAGATTTCAGCATCTGATGTGCCAAAACGTTACATCTTGGCTGAGAATTCGAGCACAAAAGGCCACAACAATCTTGCACCCTCTGGGAGAAGAGCTTATAATGCTGAAGGTCCAGCTCTTGCACCCTCTGGGGGCGGAGCTTCTAATGCTCCAGGTCCATCTCCAACACCAAAGCACAAGCATAAGAACAACAAGAAGAAGCTAGGAGGGTGGCTGCTCGGATTTTTCGCTGGAGCTCTGGCTGGGAGCATATCCGGGTTCATCTTCTCTCTGCTTTTTAAGCTGCTCTTAGCTGTGGTAAGAGGTGGAGGCAAAGACTCAGGCCCAGCAATTTTCAGTTCTCTGATTAAAAGGAAGGAGGACTTGGCTTTCCTGGAAAAAGAAGATGGGTTGGCTTCTCTGGAACTTATCGGAAGAGGTGGATGTGGAGAGGTTTATAAAGCTGAATTACCAGGAAGCAATGGCAGAATGATTGCTATAAAGAAGATTATTCAACCCCCTAAAGATGCTGAAGAGCTGACTGCTGATGAAGACAGTAAGCTTATGAACAAGAAAATGCGCCAAATCCGATCAGAAATCAACACTGTGGGTCAAATTAGGCACCGAAATCTTCTTCCTCTGTTGGCTCATGTGTCTCGACCGGATTGTCATTACCTGATCTATGAGTTCATGAAGAATGGAAGCTTGCAAGACATGTTGAATCAAGTGTCGGAGGGAACGAGAGAGTTGGATTGGCTTACTAGGCACAAGATTGCACTGGGAGTGGCTGCAGGGCTTGAATACCTTCACATGAACCACAAACCTCACATCATTCATAGAGATCTCAAGCCAGCAAATGTACTGCTCGATGATGATATGGAAGCTCGAATTGCAGATTTCGGGCTTGCAAAAGCAGTGCCGGAATACCACACGCATATCACAACTTCGAATGTGGCGGGAACTGTTGGCTACATTGCACCAGAATACCATCAAACACTCAAGTTCACAGACAGGTGCGATATATACAGTTTCGGAGTGTTGTTGGCGGTTCTGGTGATGGGAAAGCTTCCATCTGATGAGTTTTTCCAGAACACTAATGAGATGAGTTTGGTTAAGTGGCTGAAGAATGTGATGACTTCAGACGACCCTAAGCAGGCAATTGACTCAAAATTGTTGGGAAATGGATATGAGGAGCAAATGCTCTTGGTTCTCAAGATTGCTTGCTTTTGCACTCTGGAGAACCCCAAGGAGAGGCCTAATAGCAAGGACGTTAGGTGTATGTTGTCTCAAATCAAGCACTAAGCACCCAAGCATGTGTTTGAAATCAATGGGAATCCTACTAGATAGACTGTGTCTCTGTTTCCCTCTTTTCGTATGTTATGTGATGAAATAGTATGATGAATAAGAAAACATTGTGTTTCACTTTAAACGATATTAGCAGTTAAATACAGCACAGAGATTTGTATTCAGACAATTTGGTTGAACTTTTATCCCTGACTTATCTTTCACAGAGCTCATCTTTACTAATCCAGTCTCCGGTCACCTAGTGGAGCGAATTGAGTGAGTGGAATGAGAGTCAATCTCATCATGTAGCCTAATACTAATTAAAGGAAGGCTTCCAATAATCATCTACGTAATTATAGCCTGTGGATATAGATAAGGAAGAATGTATACATTTAATCAAGAGTGAGTCATTAGGAAATCTACATATCGAATTCCGTTTACTCATTCATATATAACAGAAAGGAAAAGAAAACAAAATGGCCTGCTCATATACGCCATAAACCTTGCATCTCCCATCTCTCAAGATTTTCAGCAGAAATACAAGGGAGTATTCTAGCTTAAAAATGGCAAAGTGAGGGCGTATTAGCAAAACAACAATCTCGTACAAGGTGTGGTTCCTAAGAAACATTCTTCTTGTAGATGCTTCCGAGAATATAATTGTCCAGGCTCTTGTTTCAAGTCGGGCAAGTTTTGAGACCTGAACCAAAACAGTCTGTCAAATTACCAATAGACATGCCTCCAAAGAATTCATGTTTCAAAACAAAATGAAATTTCCACTGAGAAAATGAAAATTCCATGCAAGTGCAGCCCACAGAAAGGAAGGTTCCACATAAGTTCCATTACTATCCCTAAAGGCAATAAAAGTGCCTTATGTGAAGAAAAAAATCAACTTCTCCACGCAAGTGCTTTTCATGCCTAGTGCATTTTCACCTTTTCTTTTGGAAAATATTTTTCACTTTATCTCATTTATCCTTCATAAGAAAAATTTATCTAAGCATTATGAAAATCACTGGTGATGTCAACACCTTAAATGCACAGAGCAGTAATCAGGTCCACTACCCTGTTTAATAAATCAAAATATTTACCTTAACGAGAAGAAAACCAAATAATCATTTTCTCAGGTTCACCATGTGAATCACACGGTAGCAGAGAAAATTGAAAACAAACATCAAGACTTCAATTTCAACAAGTAAATTAAAGTTGACCTGAGGGTTCACTCGAGTAAAGAAGACATGTTTTTATGTCTCATGGACAAAAGAAAAAACATTTTGAGCGGTATGAAATTATGAATATAAGTATAGATTTCACCTTATGCATAGGCAGTAATCAAGTCCACTTACCCTGCTTATATCTCTAGTTTTCAACCAACAGAAAGAGAGAGAAAAAAATTTATTGTGTTCACCATGTGAATTATATGGAAGCACAGATACAGAAAATAAACATCAAGCTTCAGTTTTAATGTATGGCAAGTACATTAAAACTGATGTGAGGGTTTTCTTGAGCAAAGCAAACATTGTTTTTATGTCTCGTGGACATATAGAGGCCTATGAGGGCTCCAGTTTATCGCAAGTGTATTACTTTCCAAAGAAATCATATTCTCAAGGATTGAAATTGTAAGCATAAGAAAAACAAAATAAAAGCAGCAAAACGGAAAGAAAAAAGAAAAAGATCCTTTTCAATACCTCAAAAATCCAAAAGCAATTGTGGGAGAACCCGCTCCAAGTGAGTTGCTTCAATCTTACTCACACCCTCTGCTTCAGCAATTGTAGCAGCGCGCTGCACAGACTCTGCCTCAACACAAATTTCTTTCTTAAAATGTCACAATAAACACACACAAAGTATGAGCACATAGTCTCAATTAAGCAACCAAAAGTTTGTGTAAAAACCTGTGACAAAGTTACGGAGAAGTTCACAACTCAGTTTTACGGCATTCCCATTAGCTGCATATCAAATTTGGAACGGAGAAACAACAAACAAAATAACATGAATAAGCAAAAATTCGATTACATATAAAAAAGAATCCCATCAAAATTGTAAAAGCTATAATGTGAGAAACCTGATGTGGGGCGATTTTTCTTAGATGTTCCAGCTCCTACCTACACCAATTAGCAGCCCAAAATTAGCTGATCAGTAAATCTGAAGATTAGGATTTTCTCCCTTGCCCTAAATCAGTTCCATAAAGCTTAATAGCAATCAATTTGTGAAAATGAGAAAGAACAGTAAGTACCTCGCAGTCCAAAGCATCGGTGCCTTCAATCATTTGACGCTCTGGAAATCGAAATAGAAATGGACAAGACATATGAGAAAGAAGAAGAGGTTGTAATTTAATGGAGCAAAATGAACAAAAATGGCGCGGAATTCAAACCGAGAGCTCTACTGGACCAGACGAGCTTGAAAATGGCATGAACAAGATCCTGAAAAATATATAAAACAAAATGTAAGAAGCATAAATAAACATTCAGAAGTAAAATTGAGAGAAGAAATTAAGGTTTTACAGGTTCGAAAGTATTTTCCTCCATCGGAGAGAGAGAGATTCAGGCGCCCTTTTTTTTTTCTTTTTTTCTTTTTTTCTTTTTGTATGAGTTGCTGGCGCTCTTTTTATCTTGAAGAAGATAGTGTCGTTTTACTCACACTGCTGTCGTTTACAAGTCTATTAGCGAAACGACGTCGTCGTCTCTCTCTTCTTTTAGCGATTCGTAGCCTCCATCGCCAATCTCCTCTTCGAAATGAAACCCTTTTCGGCATAAGCAAACTCCAACGTGTGAGTTACTCTGTAACACTGTAACTTCTTCTTCATCGATTTCAATTCTCTGCCCCCAAATGGCCAGCTTTCTTCACAAACTCAACAAAAACACACCATCCCTACGAACAGTAACATCACTCAAAACCCATCTTTTTCCCAAGCCCACACCTTCTGTCATTTCCCATCACAGCTATCTCGGCCATCCCAAACCCGAGTGCTCAGAAAACCCAGTTCCCCATTTGGGTCCTTCAAGCTTTAACAATGTTGAAACTTCCAATTCCTTTCCCATTTTCCCCAATTTCCCATTTGGGTATTGCATGAACCCAATTTCCTCAACTGGATTCGAGCAGTTGGGTGCTTTTGAGGCTGTTGAGGTCGAATCTGATGATGCACGGACGATTTGGGCAGACAGTGTTAAGAAGAAGAGGAAGAAGAAGATGAACAAACACAAGTATAAGAAGCTCAGGAAGCGTCTTCGACGAAAGTCCAGAGCTTGATGTGGTAGTGAAGGTTTAGGATTAGACTTTTGTGTTCTCAGAAGATTCTGAACTCTAATTTCTTTACTCAGGTTTACTTTTAGAAGTATTATGCATTGTCTGAGAAATTTTAATGGAATTATCGGCTTGTTTTGCTTAAATTATAGAATATGAGAATTGTTAAGTTTACAATAAGATACATTACACTTTGAGATTAACAATCTCATTTTTCTGATCAAATGGATTCATATATTTTGGTTTGAATAGATATTTATAGCGTATTCATTCTCTTAGTTATATAGCAGTCATCGTCTTAGTATGGTTGAAGAATGCATGCTTCCTTCGCAGATGATTGTGCGTATGGTTTATAAGTGCTACAGTTCTAACCATATGCACGGATGTCTTCCCGCAATTTTCATGTTTCAGTGTTACCTAGAGTGTCAGTAAGTGCTAATTTTTGTACTCTCTTACTTGCGGTGTAGGCATCATAAGGTTATATGAAAGATAATCTTGCTGAGAGATCACATCCATTAGGATTTCTCTTTCTGTTACTATCCTAAGGTTCCGCCAGGTTTCTTGATTTTTTCTGACTTAGTTTTCCATTTTTCTGTACTTTAAGATATACAGCAGTTAGTGATTGTTTGAGATGCAAGTTATGCTTTCAAATCAGTTTTGTGGATAGAGTCACGATAATAGCATTACAAAGTATCATAACTGTTAGTACCTGCATTTCTATCAGATTTGGTTCATTCCTAGGTTGCTGCATCAAGCTAGATATCTAGGCTACACATGGATCATTTGGTTTAAATCTTTATCATTTTAGATTATATGCTCAAGCTTCATTTTACTTCTCTTAGTAGCATTTAAGACATTAATGCAGTTATTAGCTATATTTACTTTTGTCCCAATGCTAGCTTTCATGGTAGTTTCAAGATTTTGTTTTGCTGTTGTATCGTTGTTTGATTCAGTGTTCTTGTGGTGCTTTCTGATTTTTCTGAATTGGTTGTTGATGCTCTTATGTCAGTCGAAACATTAATGCACTTATCAATGTTCAAGGGGTTGACAACCACGTGTCAACATACAGTTCAATGGAACATCACATTTAACAGAAGTTCCATTCAGTCCCCTGTGGTATGTTATGCTCGTTTTTCTTTTGTAGATGATTTAGGCTCTAATGAGTATCGCAAAAGACAAATCAAGATACTATTTGCTTTGCGCTGGTCTGATGCTTGCTGGACTAAAGAATGCTTGTCTTCATGACATGGTTGTGCTTTGAAGTGGTTCCATAGTTCAGTACAGTAAAATATTAGACTCGTATAGGATTTCTTTTGAGGTCTCTAGGGATTGATAGTGTCTCTGTGTTGACTTTAAAGTTGTATTCTCAACCATCTACTTGCCCATCTGCCAGCATATCAGATAACATCCTGGTATTCCATTCTGGCAGTTAGATTGGTTGGACAGTGCTCCGAGAAGACAAGCAGTCAACCAGATGGTCAAATGTCCTCGCCAGTATCTTAAGATGGTGGAATTTATTGTTTAGTTTGCACTCTCTTTATTCACTAATGAGCATCCACCCTTCGTCTGTAACGTGTATTAGTATGGTAGGTAGCGCAATGAGACAACTAAAGGTATGGTGCTTTCAAAATTCAAATTGGTGATCCCTTGATTGAGTTGTCGAATTGGAATCTTTTGATTCTTAGCAAAGCTGAATCTCTACTTCTATAGAAATGGTGAATTTGCTTGTAATAGTTGTACAAGAGAAATGGTACAAAGTCCTCTTTACCTTTAATTGCTTGGATTGAAAAGTGTGTCAATTTGAAAGAGCGGTGTGTGATGATGATGTCGTCGTTGTTCTTTTTGTGTGAGATGTGTAGTTAATTCATCCTTAATCTTTTAGATCTTCCCTAGCTATTGTGATGTCTCTTCTTTCTGATATGTTTCTTGACCATGGCCCTTGTTGGAAACTCATCCTTCCCTCATTGCTACTGTTCTTTGTTTTAATAGTAATCTTCCTTATTTTTGGGTGCTAGCTAATTGACAGCTGAGTATTAGTTACTCGTGTTTGCTTGATTGTTTTATTAGACTCAGTATAGTTGTTGTGTTTGATTTGAATTAAGTTTGGTTACTGATACTTCTGTCATAATTTTTTTCTACAAAAAAGGTTTATGTTCTGGAAAATAAAATTATATTGTAATTAGGATTAAATGAAGATGTGGTTTCTTAGTTTGCGGGTGCTATTTAGTTTATTAAATTAAAGATTTGGTTCTTAGTTTTTGTTGTGAATAGGGTTCAACTTTAACTTCAATAATATTGTTCATCCTCTATTTTAACTAATTCATATTTACTACATTATGTATTTATTTATTTTCTTATTTGATACAAGATTGTGGGAGATATAGCTAATGTTAGTAGGCCTGCGAGAAGCCCTTCTCCTATTGCTGGCCCAATATGTAATCGATGGATCATCATCTGTTTAACCTTTATATAGATGTTTCTGCTTTTGCTGATATTCAAATTGGTACTGTTTGAGCTGAAACTTAGCCAATTTGGGAAGGGGAGACAAGGAATAAAATTGGAAAAGGTATATGCAGAAGAAGAAGCACCCAAAAAGATAACAAAAGTGGATGATTGCATTTCTAGTAATCAATCATTTGAACATGTGAAGGTTTTTGACATTTAACCAAGAGTCATGCCCTGTTGATTAAAGTGGGAGACAATTATGCCTCGGTGAAGTAGCTAAGAAGACAAAGTTTTGATATGATTAGGTATAGCAAATATTTAGTTAAACATGATAGTATTGAGACCATGCCACATGACTTTATATGATTATGTGATATGTTGTTCAGATATAAAACTCCCTCCCCCTCCTCTCTTCCTCTCTTCCTCTCTCAAATTCTGGTTAAGAATTACCTGTTGCTATCATCAATCTGTGGTTCATAATTTATAAGTACCGGTTTGCTCATAATTCATTAGTGAAATTACTTTGCTTTTGCAATCTATTTATCTGACTTGGAAAATTCTTCCTGATCCCATTTCATTATCCCCTCTCTGTCTTTCTTCTCACGTGATTGAACATAATAAGACCGAGACAGGAAAGTTCCTCTCGACTGACGTTCGCCATGTATAACTTTCATATACATAATAATTGTCTTGTGTACCTGAAGGCTTCTATGGGACCTCATCCATGTGTATCAAGCATAACACTACACCACTTATTTTGCATTTATCAGTTGTATGGATTGGATTTATGACTCTCATCTCAAGTGCTGGACTGCTGGCTTCTTCAGCATTCATGTTTTCTAATCTATTTTGTAGGTTGGGAAGATCCATCAAAGGCTTACATCAAGGCTTAAAATGAGAGCACCAAATAGCCCCCACTTGAACATGGTAGGGTTTGCTTTGCTCTTTCCTCTCGTGTCTACCAGTGGTTTAAAGTCTTCACAATCAGAGATTAGATTGGTAATAATTGGTGTGTTTGTCTCTTAATACACCTCAATTAAGTTTGGTGATTACTGGCCATGTTGGTTCACCTTTATGCCCTATTCACCTTCTTGTAGGATTTTCTGTTTGGCAAATGGATTCTTCTTTTCTTTGTCTTGACAAGATAAATCTACGAAGAAGACGAATTGAAAACAAAATTACGAATCTTCATCTAAATAAAATGTCGGTGGCACATCCTACCAAAAAGTCTTATGTAGAAAACTTGACTAATCTTCTCATACTTGAAATACTCCTCAATTAGCTTGTAAAATTTGGACCCACTAGCAACTTAAACAGTTAAACTTAGACTTGTTAACTCACAAAGCAAAATTCTAAGAATGCCCTCGTGAGTGATTGTCGGATGCAACTGTATGTAATGTGTAATGTAAATCGCAACACACCTCGAGAAAAACAAGCTTAGTCTACAAAATCAGATTTCACACGGGAGAAGGGGAAAATTCCCTAAATTAGGCAGCCGATTTGGGAAAATTGGACTCAAAAATTTTGTGAACATCATCTTTGATTGATGTTGAAATAACAAACTCCAGCATGTGCATCTGAAAGAAAACTATTGGATGAGAGATGATGCCAAATGGCATCACACCTGGGCACCACGCTTTGAATGGATGTGTAGGTTGATATGTAATTTTCACTCACCACCCTCCCACTATCCAAAAATACTAAAATACCGACCAAAAATAAATAAAAAATCCCCACAGCTAACATGGCTTTGCTCATGTTTTTGCTTGGCTCGGCTCTCTGCCAACTGCTTATAACAGAGACCTTCGCCTTGCTTTTGAAAAGTCGATCCTACCCCACCATCCAAACAAATCGACGGCTGCGACTGGCCCTCGCATCCACTATCCACGGCCATGATTCGTGGAGACGACAGTCGTATCGTCGGTTGGGAATAAAATCGTTGCGAGCAGTGAGGACGTTGCTTTCATTGGGCAGCCCGAGTCAGCAAATGGACCGCCACAGCGGCCCTTGGTGACACGTGGCATCTGAGGATGTCACCATTGTTCCATGTCAGCATGGTGGGCCCGCGGTTTTGAATAATCCCGGCGAAGTTTGCGGCCAAGAAATTTTATTATAGGGAAAATGAAGAGGGAGGGAGAGTTGGCTGGGCCTACTGGGCTTTGTGGTTTGATTTTGTGAGCAAAAGCATGTGCCTATGTCAGGAGGATTTTACGTCTAATTAATTTCTGAAATAACAGATTTCATATGCTTCTCCTTCCTCAATAATTTCTGGCATTGCTTGCTCTTGAAGCGCGTAAAATACATCACAGTTGGGTCACAACTTTTGAGTACCTTATCCAATTATAGCTCATGTCATGCGAGTACCTAAGGGGAAAAAAAATGTAACGCTCGATGAAGTTTATTTATCATGATTACATTATTAATCACATATCTTCTATCTGTAAATGCGTAAGTGCGTAAATAAGTATAACCGTTTTCGAATTTATAGCGCTTGATAGAGTATGCTTCTAAGAATAATATTACTAGATATGTATCTTTTGTTTTATAGAAGATCAATCCACATAAAACTTGTTAATGCAAATAAATCTCGCGATTAGAGATAGCCCGTAATATAATTATTGCATGATATGTGTGATTACTCAAAAGTAAAAATCCCAACTACCTCTATGAATCATTACCGAATCAAAGTTTGTCACGCATGGCTAGGGTACTAATGAGTCCTTGGTGTACTTAATTTTCTAATATAATAAAATAAAGTAGAAACATCTTCTTTTTATGATCATCTCCATGTCTGCTGCCGGAAACTCACATGAGACATTTTCTATTTTCGTGCTTCAATTTTCCGGATTCATAGAAAGAAAAAAATAAAAATAAAAAGAAGTGACAATGGCAAATAAGTCAATTTTAGGGGCCAAAAAAATCGACTAAAAAAATATGTAAATAAAACGGGAAGCAACAACCACCATTTTTCCCACTTATTTTTCCACCGCGTGTTGTTGTCTTCGCCTGTGTCACTGTCGTTGGCAAGTTGGCAACGTGAACTGCGACCAGGCTTTTAATAATTCAAAGGAAATGCTTTTGGGTCTTACCTTAAATTGTGCTTCGTCTTAAAGAGTAACCTACTCTACCGGCTTAACTTGGTGTCAATTATACACAACAAATACATTATATGCAGTGGAGAAATTATTATAAAGCAGGTGTGTTTTCAACACATGCAGCTCAGGTGGGGCTTCTAGTATTATCAAAATTATTTCAGAAGATTTTCAATATGTTTGACAACGAGTCGAATCGAGCGTATACTTTACATGTCTTGTACAAATATACGAATTGCTCATGAGGTTAACGAGACGAGTGTATCAATATATGCATGTTCCTTTCGGAGCTTTGTATTTTGTTTGAGCTGAGCTTGTTTTACTAACAAAAAAACCGAATTCTAACTACCCCGAAACATAAAAAGAAATAAAATGAAAAGAAAAGTGAAGCAAGAAAGCAAACCAACATGCCCCCACTTCGCCAGTGAGAGTAGAAAACAAGATATTGAGATGAGGTTAGTTTTCAATTTGGTTTTGTTTTTTTTTTTTCTCTACCATTATTCAAGGCTTGCTTAACGGCAAAAACTACCCAATTAGAATCCCGTAAAAACCTGAAATCACGAAGGCCTTGGGTCCCACATGTTTAGTTTAATCATGCTAATTAGCCCCTTTTAAAATCTCTTTATATACACCCTCCCTCCTCATCTGTTATCCATTCATCTCTCACAAACACACTTCCTTTTCTCCTCTCTGCTTTGCTACCTTAGTGCCCTGCACACCTAAAACACACACAAGGCCAAAATGGCGAGGCCCTCCTCAGGCCCCTCACCTCTCTCTCTCCTCATCTTCCTCCTCTTCTCTCTCCTGACCCCAACCCTCATTGCCTCCAGACCACTGCAGCAAAACCCTGAATTGGTTGTACAAGATGTACAAAGGTAAGGCTCCACCAATAATTATTACGGTAGCTCAAGAACTAAATTGCATATTTATGTTTATACCATCTCTTTTGTCACGGCATTGTGCCCGATCCGAGTTCAATTCCTCTCCTCGTACATTAGACTAGTGTTGAAGAAATGTGACATTTTTTCCATTTTTGGGCTGCAGGAGCATCAATGACTCTGTTTCTAGGAGGAACTTGGGCTACTTGTCATGTGGGACTGGAAACCCCATTGATGATTGCTGGCGATGTGACCCAAATTGGGAGGAGAACAGGCAGAGGCTGGCAGATTGCGCAATTGGGTTTGGGAAAAATGCCATTGGTGGAAGAGATGGCAAGATTTACGTGGTCACGGATTCAGGGGATGACGACCCTGTAAACCCAAAGCCAGGGACTCTACGACATGCCGTTATTCAGGACGAGCCACTGTGGATCATCTTCCAGCGTGACATGACAATCCAACTGAAGGAAGAGCTGATCATGAACTCTTTCAAGACCATCGACGGTCGAGGAGCCAGCGTGCACATTGCTGGTGGGCCATGCATCACCATCCAATATGTGACCAACATTATCGTTCATGGTCTGCACATACACGATTGCAAGCAGGGAGGGAATGCTATGGTGCGGTCCTCCCCAGGGCACTATGGGTGGAGGACTATATCCGACGGTGACGGCGTGTCCATCTTCGGTGGGAGCCACGTGTGGGTGGACCATTGCTCTTTGTCAAATTGCAAAGATGGGTTGATTGATGCAATTCATGGGTCCACTGCCATAACAATTTCCAACAATTACATGACTCACCATGACAAAGTGATGTTGCTTGGGCATAGCGATTCTTATACCGAAGATAAGAACATGCAAGTCACCATAGCTTTCAATCACTTTGGAGAAGGGTTGGTCCAGAGAATGCCAAGGTAATTAAGAAGCTAATGTAGTAATTAGAAAAAGTACATTTTAATTAATTGATGATGGTCCATGATTTTTATGTTGCTAAAGTTTAAATTAATTTTTCTGTGTCACATTTGTAGATGTAGGCATGGATATTTCCATGTGGTGAACAATGACTACACCCATTGGGAGATGTATGCCATCGGAGGCAGTGCCAACCCTACAATCAATAGCCAAGGGAATAGATTTGCGGCACCAGATATCAGATTTAGCAAAGAGGTTTGAACCTAATTATTATAAATTCATTCGAGTGATGTTATTCGTACCATTTTTACTAATTACAACTCTAATGCAAGTTCGTCTCACATACATTAGTGGGGTCCATCTCTATTAAAAATGTGGTTAGTAAATTTTTATGAAGGTTTTGGTTTATAATCTGGTGTAAACTTGTGCAGGTGACAAAACATGAGGATGCACCAGAAAGTGAGTGGAAGAATTGGAATTGGAGATCTGAAGGAGACTTGTTGCTGAATGGCGCATTTTTTACAGCATCAGGAGCTGGAGCTTCCTCAAGCTATGCAAGGGCTTCAAGCTTGGGGGCAAAGCCATCTTCCCTAGTGGGTTCAATAACCACAGCTTCTGGTGCACTTAGCTGCAGAAAGGGTTCTCGTTGCTGATCACATTTTTAGATTGTGACCTATTGCGAAGGACATTCTTAAAAAAAAAATTATATATATAGGTGTAGGGAAGTGAAATATGTGAGGAAAGAAAAAGGCTATGCAAAAATGGGTCAAATATATATGGCTCAAAAATTCTATAGGATCTCTTGCCTTTTTTCTTCCCTCCAATTCTTCTCCCTTTTTTACCCAATGTTTTGTACTTTTCCCTTTTTATTCTTTTCGTTTTTTTAGTCAATTTTCATGATGATTACAACCTCGGCCAGTTACTCTTAGGCAGCATTAGGGTTTCTGTTTGGGAATCTTGATGTGCAAGAGAAAACAAGTGCAGAAGTGTTGATTATACTAAATTATCAATCTATTTATAATATTGATGAAATAGCTCTGTCTTTCCTCCTTCTCTATCTATATTGAACTTTTTTTAAATATGAGCTATACTGGGAATTCAAATATAGGAACTCGAGTGCACCGCTCTTAATGAGCTACAAATCTCTTTCCACTCAATTTGAAATGACCCAATTTTTCTATTTTGAATTGGTAGTGTAAGCCATGAACAATGCCCCAACAAGAAGCAACTTAGACCCAAAAGACAAAAGCAGCAGAATAACAGAATCCAATACTAGAATTTCTATAAGGACAAACAAACAGTCTCCCAGAATTTTTGACCATGAGAGAGAGAGAGAGAGTGCACATCCACCAAGAAGATTACATACCAAAAAGTTAAAACAGAGTACCACTACCAACAAAGTTAAAAAAAACCCCACCAGAATTGTCCCTTCCCTACAAATCATAAAAAAATTTGGGTAGGACCAGATTTTGAATTTTAATTTAAGAGGAGCTTAATTAGGCGCTAGGACTTCAAAAGCAGAAAGCACATGCAAGCGTTAAAACTGGACCTGCTTTTGATGGAGCTATTTAGCCGTCTCTGCTTTTAGAATATAATAGTATTCGAACTATTTAGGTTTAGCTACAAGTTACATACCAATTACGTCTTTGACAAAGTTGCCTGCTTCCATCTTTTTGGTTGCTGGGCTCTGTACCTAATCAGGGCAAGCCACGTTTAAAGCAAACACATGCACTGCAGTAGGGAACAAAAGTAGCCCCTTTCTTCCTTCCTATGTTGATTTTGACTCCATGAGTTCTCACATGGGAGAAGATGCATCAGATGATAGATCTCTGCAGGTTTAGCTATGTAGCTTTTGCTTTGGACTTGGAGAGCTCCAATGGATTACTTGTTTATCTTTCTCACATTAAAAACCTTAAGAAACTTGTTTAACTAGATTCACATGGCAAATATAACTTAGATATAATATGTAACTTGATTTTAGATACATTTTAAGAAAAGTTGCATCATTCAACCTAATTCTACCATTGTAGACATGGTCCAACACGTGAAACGGGTTAATGTGATGTAAAGAGTGCGTTTGCGTACATGTATGATAGGTAAGTTTTTCTTCTTTCTTGCACTAAAAGTCGAGTTTGGGCCTCATCCTTCCACTTCAGGATAGTCAATTTTTTTTTCAAAAGAAAAACTTAACAATTTCGAAGTCGAGAATCATGTTGAGTTTGAATGATCCACAAAATTTAAGGGGCATGATTATGGATATATATAACTTGTCTAATATCAGAGCAGGTATAGCCATCGATGATTTGAAGTTTGAGGGAGGGGGACCAAGGAATTATTCTCATATGAAATGCAATGGGGATACCATTTTGGACCCAACCATGTGGCAGACATTAGTGGAAAGAGACCTAATAGGAATATGAGTATGACTGAGACCAATAAACGAGCATTATCTCCAAAACCCCAAGCTTTTCTTTTTTGCTCACCTCATGCTCCACAGAATCACAGCGAATTATGCCCAATGCGACCAGACGGTTAGAAGAAGTATGAACCAAAACGCAAAATGCTCAATGGTTTTGCGTAGAGGGCAAAGACTCATTTGAGTTTATTAGCAAGGAATTGAATATCGGCAAGTGACACATTTATGTCATAATGCGAATTGCTCCATCCAAATGCACCGTATGGTTATGTTTGGTGACTAGTATTGGATTGGATACTTAGTATATTTAAAGCATGTTTAAGGAAGAAAATTTATATCATTTAATCCCTAGAAAATGATAGGATAACAACACCTTATAACTAATCCCTCCTAATCCCCCCAACATGGAAAGTCATTCACCCCTACCTTCATTTCCTCTTTCAATATACCTTAAATTTAGTGACTTTTCCAATCCAATCCAATACTAGTCACTAAATATGGCCTATTAGTATTTAACCGTGATAAATTGACATCCATTTTAATTCAACACAAGTTGACAGCATGTGCTAATTTAAATTGGTTTCTATCTAGGAGATAAAAACGCTTATCTTGTACTAATGAACCTTAGTTACCATCATACGTGGATTAGGTTAGTTGGTTAAGGCGGTGAGCTCGTCTTCTAACACCCAAGTTTGAATCTCCATATACTTGCAAATTCAATTAATTTACCCATTCATTTTAGTTTTCAGTCTTCAATTTTTCAGTTTTCATTTTTTTTAAACAGAAACTCAAAAACTTGTATGGTAACTAGTTTCAGTTTTCAAAAAAAGTGAAAAGTGAAATTGAAAAAAAGTTGTTTGGCAACTTATTTCATTTTTCAGTTTTATGTAGAGCTTGGAAATGGAATTTGTTGTGATTAAATTGTTTCTGATATATTTGTTTTTAGTTTCAGTTTTATGTAGAGCTTGGAAATGGAACTTCATCTCTTGAACTGTTTCTGATATATTTGTTTTTAGTTGGTATTCAGGTTCAGATGTTGATTGTACATGCATAATTGGAAGTTGCTTTACACCCACTAGTACTATATCGCCTCCATGACATTCAATTTTCGGCAGTCTTCAGATGAACTTGATCGTGCGTGAACAAGTATTCACTATAGTAACTCTACTCTTCCACGGATTCGTATATTTCGTTTGTCAATGAATCTTCCATTGAAGCTGAGAGAAATAGAAGCCTACAACTTTTCCGTACACTATTTAAAGCGTACCAAGACCAAAGTAACCTACCAAGACCAACACACCAAGGTAAATCTATCGATCCTTCAGAGCTAACTGCCAAGCCAACAATGGTTGCGTTCAAACTGTAGAAGATCTCAGAACCCTGGGACCTAACATAGAAGAAATAAACTATTACGACCCTTAATTATCAACAAATAAAAAGCTATGAAGAACAAAAGCAATCACCACTAAGCAGTCCCTTAAAATGTTCTAAAGAAACTTACAGAAAACAGAACCATAATATAAAATTCAATCATACATGTAAAAAACACCAAGATTTTAAAATTTCCAGAACCTGCTAGGAGTTGATCAACAGTCAGAACTTACAACTGACCTGGCATTCTGGCAATGCAGATGTCTAACCTTAATGGTAGATATTGGAACTTTATAAGGAGGATGAGAGGCATGAGCCAGTTCTTTCAATAAGCATGCTATTTGAAAGAGTCCTCACAAGCTGAGCTGAATTGATCTCTATTAGATTCAGCATCCCATATATCATGATCCTCATCACCACCAGAATGCCCCGCATGGTAGGGTAGATTCTTACTCTCGGCAGATGTGTTTATTTAACCGAAAATATGGAAGCCCAGATTGTTGAACCCGAAACCGAAGAGGCCTTACCTCCTGGCCAGAGGGACGAGCTGTGGCTGCGAGGTCCAACAGTCATGAAAGGTAATGAGACTTTGTCATGTCACAAGTGTCCTACATTGCAGAAATAGTTTATCTTAAGATAATTTATAAGTTTTCGGCACCTTTTCTTACAAGTCGGTTAATATAGGAGCAAGTTCTAGCCATGAGTCAGGACACCATTACCTAATCTAACTGATCTTTGTAAAACCATTTGATCAAGTACAAGGCCTATCAGGTGATTGCAAGAGAGATCCTTTGAGAGTTAAACTCATAACAAAGATGGTTGTATAAGTATTTGATCAGTCCATTTGAGTAATGTGTTGTTTGGTCTCCCTATGTCTGGAACAAATTGCAGGTACCTCCAGCTGAGTTGGAACCTATACTTCAATCCCATCCCGACATTGCCGATGCTGCTGTGATTCCGTATGTATCTAGTACCGTGACATTCTTTGCTTGTGAAAAGCTAGTTTCTTTCCATGCTCTATGGCATCAATCTATCAATTGACGACCTTAATCTCTTATTTCTCAGTTTCGAAATTTTGTAGAAGTATTTAGCTGGGAAGAGAAACAAAAGAAAAACAAAGAACAAAAGAAATTCAAGAACTTATGAGATCATTGAAGAAAATTTTGACGGATATTTTGCCGATAAGTTTGCCTTTATGAGAAATCTGGTCTTTTGCCTCCACTTTCTTGCATAGTTAGTATCATGGTTACATGGTAGAAGATCATAGTTTCTGAAAGAATTTGCAGTATATTTCATTTATTTGTTTACCTCCTCAAGGTATACTAGTTCTGATTTCTGCCCGTTGGCGTTTCTGAAGCAGGGCAGATTCCCATGGCCTATGTAGTTAGAAAGCCTGGAAGCAATATCACCCGATAAGTTTGCCTTTATGAGAAATCTGGTCTTTTGCCTCCACTTTCTTGCATAGTTAGTGTCATGGTTACATGGTAGAAGATCATAGTTTCTGAAAGAATTTGCAGTATATTTCATGTATCGGTTTACCTCCTCAAGGTATACTAGTTCTGATTTCTTCCCGTTGGCGTTTCTGAAGCAGGTATCCTGATGAAGAAGCAGGGCAGATTCCCATGGCCTATGTAGTTATAAAGCCAGGAAGCAATATCAATGAGGCTGCAGTTATGGATTTTGTTGCAGAACAAGTATGCTCCTGAATACTTGTAAAAAAATCCAATTGATTCTTTTCATAAGAAGATTCAACGTGTATCGTTTATCAACTCGATTTCGAAATCTCCAGCAGGAAAGATCTTGAGGAGGGAGCTCGTTAGTCATGCTCTATCTAGCCGTTCATCTAAATTATGATTTACTTCTTCAAACAAAGGAAAGCTTGCTGAGCATTGCATTCCAATTCAACATACCAACTTGTTCATGTTCTTTAGCATGTATATAAATGCAATCGATCTTGGAAGTCACAGTTGTTATGTTTCTGATCAGAATTCGACCTTATAAAGCCTTTTGTAAGATAAACGTATGTTTGAACCTAATTGAAATCTGGCCGGGTGAAGCACAACCTTTCCACACATTATTTGTCTTTGTTTTGCGTCCACATTATTTATGTTTACTGTATATCTATCTGTGAGAGAGTTTGAAATTCATCATTCAATCAAGACCCTTTTGTGCTTGATCCTTGGTGCACTGTACCTCCACAACGCATACTCATTTTCTTGTTTGCGCCATATCCGTTTATAAATTGGCTGAACACTTGAGTCACTTGTTTCCCTAGTAAGTGGTTTTGCTTATGTTGTATTCTGAATGTAGTATCCGTACTACCACAGACTTGTTACCATTGTCCTTCAACTGAACTTCAACTTAATGGAAGAATCAATGAAATACCACATTACATTCCATTTGGACATTCTTCTATTGCACTAATCTGTCACAACCACAAGAAATATGTGTTAGGCATGCCTGCTTTCTAATTTAAATAGTATAGCCGCGCGGCTATGCTCAAAAAAATTTCTATTCAAATAGTATAGCCGAAGGGCGATACTGTTAAAATACTCCATTTATATAGTATCGCCGTGCGGCTATACCGTTAAAATTTTCTACTTAAAGAGTAGCCGAACGGCTGTACATAGGGTAAGTCATGCGGCTATACTTTTTAAATATTCTATTTTAAGGATACATGGACTTTTTAAATATTCCATTTGAAGAGTATACCTGCAAGGAGTTGATCAATAATCAGAACTTAGAACTGACCTGGCATTCTGGCAATGCAGATGTCTAATCTTAATGGTAGATATTGGAACTTCATAAGAGAATGAGAAGCCAAAGCTTGAGCCAGTTCTTTAATACTAGTAATGTTCAGGCTTGAAAAGCACTGTCTGAAATATTCAAGGATATGTCTTCTTTGAAGGAGTGATCCTTTTCAAAAAAGATATATAGTAGTAGTAATTCCCAAGGTATGATCTAATAATACTCACTTTTTTGGGGGTTTATTTATTTATTTATATGAACAGGTTATGGATAGGCTTCTAAAACTACCTCATCCTCAAGTACTTCAGACAGGTAATGTATTTTTAATACTTATAGTTCATCTGTCATGGATGGTTCAGCTGAGGACTCGTTGCATCTAGTTGAAGCCTTAAGGAAAACTATATCTTCTGCATCTTCTGACGTTGCGTGATCAATCTAGTACTATGCTGTTGATGATCTTTTGGTACGTATGATCAATATCTTGTTGTTATGCCCCTTATTTCTTTTTATTTTGTTGAGATGTGCTAAACATTCTAGTAAATATTAATTCAAGATATGTAAATCATGCAGAAGCTGTGGTAGATGCAATCCAAAGACTTTGGCCAATATTTAAAGCCATATTTGATCTCTAAGTGTTCCTACATAATACATTACTTGCTGAATATTACTTGTAGTGTAACAGATTTCCATACTCATATATCTTAATCTCCTTTCCTTATTCTAATCCATGTTTTGAATGTTTCTGGTGAAGTCGTGCTTGGGACGTGCGGACAATGGAGTCTCTGTGCCGAGCATCCAAATACGCTGTGAGTTCACTCACTGATCCCCCTTCTTAAATGTTAATCTGAATTCGTTAAAGCTACTATAGAGAATTTTTGCTAAATTTATACATTGAATCCAGTGTGTTTAGCTATGTGATTCAACTGTGATACCTGTCTTTTTGCCCGTGGCATCTTGTTTCGTCTTCAAAACTTTTCCTATTGCCTTATTTGATAAGAGGAAGAATTTGTATCAATAGTGTTCTGTTTTCCTGTCGTTGGTGGTTCCGTGTGAACCATATGAATGTTTTGCTCTGGCAATGCTGTTTTTTTCAAAACTTTCTGATCTTATCATTGTCCTTCTGGAAATGATGAAGTTAAAAGAATCTGTCACTAGGCTTATTGCCACAACCACAAGAAGCTGTCTGATATAAGAAAGATGTGTGAGGCATGCCTGCTTTCTATTTAAAGCGTCTAGCCGGGCGGCTATACTGTTGAAATATTCCATCCAAAGAATATGGTGCGCGGCTATACCGTTAAAATATTCTATTTATAGGGTGTAGCCGAGCGGCTATACGTTTAAAATATTCTATTCAACTGTATAGCCGCGCGGCTATACCCTTTAAATATTCTATTTATAGAGTATAGCCGTGCGGCTATACTGTTAAAATATTCTCTTATGGCTGCCATTTCTCTTGTTTGTATTTCTTACAACCTCAGAAAGTATGGGATACGGAGGTTCTTGTTCGTGGATAGGTATCATGGTCATAAGCTTCAGTACCGTGATGAATATATACAGAAGATCAATGTGAGTTTGGCAATACCCATACCTCCCTTGTTTAATTTCTTTCCTTATCATTTTATGCTTGTGAGCTTTATGTTTCTACCCGAGTAATTCTACTGTTGGGGGATAAAAACTTGAAGCAGATAGTTGAGTAATTGTATGTATTGGCTAGTTGAGTTGATGTAAAAATCAATTTTAGTTGAAAACAGAACCTGAAACTAAAATTAACAAATACTTTTACTACAAGTTACTGTCAGTTTCTCCCTTTGACTCATTCTGTATCAATTATCAAACCTTGTTCAAGATTCTGCATTTAGCCCAAATTTTTCATGTTGCTGGATGTGTTAACTACTTTGGTAGGAAAGTTTATCTATCTATTCTTGTGGTTGTCTCACACTCATTGATTATTGGGAACAACTTGTTTCCATTATTTATTATAGCTAATACAGCAGTGAGATTATAATTTTGTATATCCCAATTTTATAGAGTCTAACTGCACCGCTATACTTTTAAAATATTCTATTTAGCCGCGCGGCATCCGGGCTATATCAAGTTATGTTTCAGCAGTCGCAGCTGAAGTAATGCCCAAGGTATGATGTTGTCCAAATTTCTTTTCTACATCAATTCGAATTTTACCATTGTCCTTTACAGTAGTTATGGATAGGCTTCTAAAACTAACTCAACATCCTCAACTACTTCAGACAGGTATAATCAATATCTTGTTCTTATGGCTTATTTCTTTTTATTTTGTTCAGATGTGCTAAACATGCAGAAGCTGTGGCAGAAGCAATCGAAAGACTGGTGGCCAATATTTAAAGCCATATTTGATCTGTAAGTGTTCCTACATTACTTGCTGAATATTATTTGCATACTCATATATCTTAATGTTAATCTGAATTCGTTAAAGCTACTGTAGAGGATCTTTGCTAAATTTATACATTGAATCCAGTGTGTTTCGGTATGTGATTCAACTGTGATACTTGTCAAGAAAATCACCCCTTGAAAAACGTAGAGATTTTGTGTTAAGAGTCTGTTGACGGGAGCACTCTAAACGATGTAGATTGTAATTCCATTTCGCACCGGTTGAAGAGACAGGTTGCTTCATGTATGGATCCAAACCAAAGGCATATGATTTTCCTGTACTTCAATTGTCTTTCCCAAAAATTTTGTTCTAAAAATACATCTAGAGAGAGAGAGAGAGAGAAAGCTGAAATTGCCATTGATGATCAAGACAACTACTCTGGAATGCGTAAATTAACAAGTGCCAGCAAACGTTTTGCGAATAAGAGAAAGGTAAAAACAAAAACGGAAGAAATATGTAATTGGAATATGGTAATATTTCTTAAACAATTCGTATATATTTACAGAGTATATACTCTTTAAATGTTCGTATGTGAAGGTATAGCGGCTACACTCTTTTAAAATATTCTATTTAAAGGGTATAGCCGCACAATTGAGTGGTCAAATGATATCGGATTCAAGTGATTTTTTGTAGAGATGATCTTTGAATGAGTATCTACAAAATAGACGGTTTGGATTTGTGAAATGCAATTCGGAGTGGGGCCTACAAGGGGTGTCCCTCAAATAAGCTTATTTGAGGGATCCCTCAATGGAAGCTCTCTGTATATATATATATACACTTTTAAAATAATCTATTTACAGAGTATAGCCGCCCGGCGATACTGTTAAAATATTCTATTTAAAGAGTATAGCCGCGCGGCTATACCTTTGAAATATTCATCGTTATCAAAACCCCAGTTCCCTGCATATTGGAGTCGGAAACTAAAAAATTATGAGCAGAGGTATACAGAGAAGATGAAATATAACAAAAAATATTGTGGAAAAACAGAGTGACCTACCAAGACCAACACACCAAGGTAAATCTTGAGAGTTAACTGCCAAGCCAACAATGGTTGCGTTCAAACTGTAGAAGATCTCGGAACCTGGGACCTAACATAAAAGAACCCTTAATTATCAACAAATGAAAAGCTATGAGGTACAAAAGTAAGCACTCCCTTAAAATGTTCCAGAACCTGCAAGGAGTTGATCAATATATATATTTCATACTAACATGGCTAAAGAAAAATAATCCACTTTCTTGTAATTCTATAATCCATTTTCTCACACAATTGAAGCATTACAAGAAGCACACTTCGAGGCAAAACATGCAAACCCCCGGCGCAGTTTCCAGTGTCGGGGGAGTGACCGGCACAATCAGTGGCGGAGGTAGAATTTGATATTTGGGGGGGCCACAAGCTTAAAATTAAGGGATTTTTTGTGCAATCTATACTATATACTTTATACAGTCAAAGATGTGAGAAGATGATGGGGGGCCAGGCCATCTCAGGCCTATGCATAGCTCCGCCCCTGGGCACAATGTAGTAGTTTCGGTCAGTTGGATTTGTAAGAAATCATTATTTTCCTGTTAGAAACTTAAGTTTAGTAGCTGTCCTAATTCGAAGTTAGAAATCATTATTATTTTTAATTTTTCTTTAGGGGCGTGCCGTAAATACTTGTTAATGATATGCAAAGGTTTGCATTATTCTCTTCTAACTACTGAGAACGACACCACTGCAATAAACCACATAGCAAAGTTTCGTATCCCATGAGGTCAGCTCAGGTATTTGAGAAAATATAAAATAAAAACAGTTTCGTTTGCCTAAAAAACGACAGTTAGCACGCCAGAACCTGCCGTACTGGCACTCGAAAACGTGTCGTCTTCTCTAAACGCAAGCGGTGGTCTCCGACTTCCTGGACACGTGTGAGGAAATAAAACCTGTTGTTTTAGTGGGCCCAAGTACATCGCTAATTACGGCTGATTTTGCACTCGACGTAATTAAACTAATATCTTTATTTATTTATTTATTTT